TGGATTCGGTGAATGACGGGATCTCAGCCATTTTCCATTGCCTGACCTTGGCCTGATTTATGTACCGTATTTTCCAGCGTATAAGACGACCCCCTACTTTTCCTGTTAAAATATAGGGTTTGGGCTATACTCGCCATATAAGACTACCCCTCTTCCAACGCACACCAAAAATAAAAATAAAAAACATCAGATTTGATTTCAATATGGTATGGTATTTCAGTATGGTATTCCAATGATGGGGTGCTATTCCTCCCACTGACACCAATGATGGGCCACTATTCCTCCCACTGACACCAACGATGGGCCACTATTCCTCCCACTGACATCAATGATGGTGCCCCATCATTAGTGTCAGTGTGTGAGGAATAGTATCCCATTTTTAGTGTCAGTGGGAGGAATAGTGCCCCATCATTGGTGTCAATGGGAAGAATTGTGCCCCATCATTGGTGTCAGTGGGAGGAATAGCACCCCATCATTGGTGTCAGTGGGAGGAATAGTGTCCCATCATTGGTGTCAGTGGGAGGATTAGCGCCCCATCATTGGTGTCAGTGGGAGGAATAGTGTCCCATCATTGGTGTCAGTGGGAGGAATAGCACCCCATCATTGGTGTCAGTGGGAGGAATAGTGCCCCATCATTAGTATCAGTGGCGGGAATTGTGCCCCATCATTGGTATCAGTGGCAGGAATAGTGACCCATCATTGGTATCAGTGGTGGGAATAGTGCCCCATCATTGGTATCAGTGGGGGGAATAGTGCCCCATCTTTGGTGTCAGTGGGAGGAATAGTGCCCCATCATTGGTGTCAGTGGGAGGAATAGTGCCCCATCATTGGTGTCAGTGGGAGGAATAGTACCCCATCATTGGTGTCAGTGAGAGGAATAGTGTCCCATCATTGGTGTCAGTGGGGGGTGGAATAGTGCCCCATCATTGGTATCAGTGGGAGGAATAGTGCCCCATCATTGGTGTCAGTGGGAGGAATAGTGCCCCATCATTGGTGTCAGTGGGAGGAATAGTACCCCATCATTGGTGTCAGTGGGAGGAATAGTGTCCCATCATTGGTGTCAGTGGGGGGTGGAATAGTGCCCCATCGTTGGTGTCAGTGGGGGGGGAGGAATAGTGCCCCATCGTTGGTGTCAGTGGGGGGGAGGAATAGTGCCCCATCGTTGGTGTCAGTGGGGAGGAGGAATAGTGCCTCATCGTTGGTGTCAGTGGGGGAGGAATAGTGCCCCATCATTGGTGTCACTGGGGGGGAGGAATAGTGCCAATAGTGTTCCAGCATGGTGCTGCTGCACACTTACCGGCCGCTCCCTCACTCGATTTTCGCGGGGCCGCTCAACTCCACCTCCTCGCCGGTGATTGGCCGCCTGTGTGCCTTTCCTGAGCTACAGTTCTGGCGCCCAATCACCGGTGAGGAGGCGGAGCCGAGCGGCCACGCGAACTTCGAGCGGCCGAACTGAATGAAGGAGCAGCCACGCTTCCTGGACTGGATCGTCGTGGGACTGGGACCGGAGCCAGGTAAGAAACAGCAGCCCCCTGTCCGCCCCTGTACTTAGTGTCCCTTCCGTTTGAAGGGGGGGCGGCACCACGCCACCCCCCGAAAAAGTGCCACCCTGACACCGGCTCGCCGTATACCAGCGTATAAGGCGACCCCCGACTTTTCAAAAGATTTTCATGGGTTAAAAAGTTGTCTTATATGCCGGAAAATACGGTACTTAAATGAAAGCAAACATCCTACTGGTTGCTGTAAGCAACATCTGTCTTGGGAATTCACAAAAAAAATACAAAGGTATCTTGAGGAATAAAATGCACATTTTCTATTATCTTTTAAAGCGATGAAAAGGGAATTCAGTTTGGTAGCTGTCTGATTTTGCTTATTACTCTACTATGTGCTTTTGTTTCCATGGGTCTCTCTTAGCTTTTTGCTGTAAAAATACATGGGGGTACTTAATCAGGTTCTTCATTTACATTCAACAAATAAAATGTAGAAAAAACGGGGGCTTTGAATTTAGTAATAAGGGAGAACCAACAAATCAATATAAAATATGTAATAAATTGTATCTTTACATTATATCAAAATTTTTCCTTACCAGGCCAATTTCCAGCTTTCAGCGCTGTCGCACTTTGAATGACAATTGCGCGGTCCATGCAACACTGAACCCATATGAAATTTTTATCATTTTTTTTACACAAATATAGCTTTCTTTTGGTGGTATTTACGTGCCGCTGGGGGGTTTTATTTTTTTGCGCTATAAACAAAAAAATGCAAACAATTGAAAAAAAAAATGTCTCTTTGTTTCTATTATAACATTTTGCAAACAGGTAAGTTTTCTCCTTTACTGATGTGCGTTGATGAGGCTGCACTGATGGGCACTGATAGGCAGCACTGATGGGCACTGATGGGCACTGATAGGCAGCACTAATGAGGTGGCACGGATAGGCGGCACTGATAGGTGGAACGGATAGGCGGCACTGATGATGGGTACTGATAATCAGCACTGATAGGCGGCAATGACTGGCGCAACTGCTGGGCATCTGATTGGCGCAACTGCTGGGCACTGACTGGCACAACTGCTGGCACTGACTGGCACAACTGCTGGGCTGCACTGATGGTGGCACCGATAGGTGGCACTGATGGGTGGCACTGATAGGTGGCACTGATGGACACAGGTGGGTGGCACTGATGGCAGAGTTGGGTGACACAGGTGGGTGACACTGCTGGGCACTGGTGGTGGCACTGCTGGGCACTGGTGGGGTGGGCGGCAACTGCTGGCACAGGTGGGTGGAACTGGAGGGGTGGCACTGCTGGGCACCGATCAACAGGGCACTGATCATCAGTGCCCTGATGATCGGAGAGCCAATCCCAGCTCTGACAACTGCCGGTTTCTCGGCAGTACTTTCCCTCCCCCAACGTTCTGACAGCGTGAGGAAAGTGCAGCCGAGAACCGGCAATTTCAATTTCCCTGTAATCAGCGTGTCATGGGACACGGCTGATCACGTGGTAAAAAGCCGCTGTGATTGTGCCTTTTTTACCACATCACGTGATCAGCTGTGTCCGTAGGACACAGCGTTCACGGAGATCGCCGGGTGATCACCCCAGAGAGCACATTTTACGGGAGGACGTCATATGACACCCTCCCAGAACTGGCCGTCACCGCAGTGTAGCCGTCATTCAGCTATCTGCGGTCGGCAACTGGTTTTTTTAAAAAATCATAATTGCTATAAAAACTTGATCCCAAATAGACAACCCTATATATCATGACCATATCGATGTAAAAAAAAAAAAGAATAAGACAAGTGTCCCTAACACCAACGCGTTTCATGGTACTGCTTCAGTCAAGCTTCTGCTTCTTCAGGACTGGGTTAATGTTGTGAAAATATAACATGGGAATGATTGTCTGTCTGAAAAAATGTATTTTAAAAAAAATGTATTTACAGTTAGGTAAATAATATACTGCATACACACGTGTTTGCTTAAATAATTCGAAAACAAAGATACACATCATATTCAGGTTCTGCTCTAATAAATTTCTTACAGGATATACACTAATATTCGCCAAAAGTATTCAGACAACTCTGCAAATCATGTGATTCAGGTGTTCCAATCCCCTCCATGGACACAAGGTGTATAAAAATCATCACCTAGGCTTGCAGACTGCTTCTACAAACATTTGTGAAAGAATGGGTCGTCTCTCAGGAGCTCAGTGACTCAGAGTCCCGTGATAGGTTGTCACCTGGGCAATAAGTCCATCCATGACATTTCCTGGCTACTATAATATTCCACGGCCAAACTGTCAGTGGGATTATTAACAAAGTGGAAGCAACTGGGAACAACAGCAACTCAGACAGGAAGTGGTAGGCCACGTAACATGACAGAGCGGGGGTCAGCGCATGCTGAAGCACACAGTGCGCAGAAGTCACCAACTGTCAATTAGCTAAAGACCTGCAAGCTTCATGTGACCTTCAGATTAGCACAACAACAGTGTGTAGAGAGCTTCATGGAATGGGTTTCCATGGCCGAGAAGCAGCTGCATCCAAGACCTCACATCACCAAGTGCAATGCAAAGCAATCGGATGCCGTGGTGTAAAGCACACCGCCACTGGACTCTAGAGCAGTGGAGACATGTTCTCTGGAGTAACCAACAAGCTTCTCTGTCTAGCAATCTAATGGCACACACCCTCATGTCTGGTTTGGTGGTTGCCAGAGAGATCGTACTTTGCCTGACTGCATTGTGCCAAGCAACCCGTAAAGTTTGTGGAGGGGGGATTATGAGGTGTGGGGGTTGTTTTTCAGGGGACATAAGACTTGGCCCCACTAGTTCCAGATGAAGGTGAACTTTAAGGCATCAGCAAACCAAGACCATTTTGGACAATGTCATGCTGACCCAACTTTTGTGGAACCAACTTTTGGGAATGGCCCCTTCCTGTTCCAACATGACTGCGCACCAGTGCACAAAGCAAGGTCCATAAAGACATGGATCTGAGTTTGGGGTGCGGAGGACTTGAACTGGCCTGCACAGAGTCCTGTGACCTCAACCCCATAGAACAAAAAACACCTTTGGGATGGATTACGAGCGGAGACTGCGAGCCAGGCCTCCTCCCCCGACATCAGTTCCTGAACCTTCCTCACAAATGTGCTTCTGGAAGAATGTCCAACCTTCCCATAGACACCCATTATAAGCTGTTATAGCTGCAAAGGCGGGGCCAACTGAATATTGAATCCTACGGACCAAGACTGGGATGCCCTTAAAGTTCATGTGTGTATAAAGGCCGGGGCCGACCAATACGATTGGCAATAGATAGAGTATATGTATATACTGTATTTTTAGGACAACACTGTCCCAAACAGCCACAGATCAGGGGCGGACTGATTATTTGGAAACTCGGGCACTGCCCAGGCCCAGGGTCAGTAGGGGGCCCCATGAGATGCCCCTGGTACCTTTTTCATAGGCTTTATTGAGTTTGGGCAAGGACACAAGGGCCCCATGATCCCCTATTGCCCAGGGCCCCATGAGTTGTGTCAGTCCGCTACTGCCACAGATACATCATATATACCAGATACTGCGCATAGAAAGAACAGCCAGTATGGAAGAGTCCCTATTCCCATAGGAAGTCCCCTGCGGTTCATCAAGGCACTTTGGCTTGTGAGGGGAGTCCTAAGTAAAACCATAAAGAGTTAGGGGGAAGCTGATGTTGATGATAAATACTGTTTTTGTTTCAAATGCCACTTTATGCATTGAAATTCCTCCCAGTCTATCCAGACAGTATGGCCACCTGCTGGCCTGGCATTATCCACAGGCAGCTTAACTCTTCAATAAGTTGTGAATCCAATACAATTTCAGCTAACTTAGGTACAGACCAATGTTTTTCCAGTCTTTTGAAGTGTAAAAAGACTGACTTCTGCCCCTGTGAATAACTAATATGACTGAGGGAACATGTAGGAAACAGAGAGGGTACGACTAGAATGAAAATAACCTACATTAAACCAAGAGAAGGGGATTGGGAAGACACATTAGTAAACAAGTTGTAGTTGCCCAGAAACCGCCACTAGATGTCAGAAAAATAATTAACTGATGCAGTTCAATACAAGACAGAAAAATACATGAAAGTGGGGCAGAACAAATACCCCCATGACTTTATATAGCCCCCTTGTGGAGGAAAAAAGTGTAGAGAAAAAAGTTAAAAAAAAAAAAACAGATGAGCTAAAATAAATAAATTAGTAAAAAAAAAGACAAACAAACAAATGTACTACTAATAAAAAATATATACTTCTTGCTGCTCGCCTACTAATCCCCAGATCCCCCAAAAATACAATGAATATTCTAAATGACATTTCCTATTGCCACAAAAGCGTCATACGCTAACGCCCTGTATGGGTCATCAAGACAGGAAGTGTGAGATATTTCTCCAACAACAGAAATACAATCTTGATAAAAGTTCTTACACTTTCTCAGTTGTTCCAAAAGTATAAAAAAAAAAATAATAACTCCTCTCCTTTCAAATGTCAAATGTTTTCATGTAAAGCTGAAATCAAACAAGAAGCGTGCTCTACCTTCGCCGCCCTCTGCAGCATCAACCAACTAGCAATCATCTTGTGTTTTGGAATTAACAATCATTTAGTGGCTTTTGACAACTACCTTATAAATATTGTATTTACTTGTTTTTTGATTGTTCTCATACTCAATGCTTCTCCAATTGCGGTATTCAGACTGCGTGATTTGGGGGAGTTATCATCACATGGTAATTTATTATCATCACACGGTATTGTCGTTGTATTTCTCCTGAACTTCTTTTCATGAAGATCTGAGTGATAACGTGCCCCTTATTCCTCCCCGCTGATTGCGGAAGCTGTTCACCGTTTCATGCTGCTGTCCTGCCCAGCTATTCATAGCTGAACTGCTTCTCACTTTGACGGCGGATGACCAGGTGAATTGCTGGCTTTACATTTACATTTTTGTATTTCCAAAGAAAAAGCCTATGAAAAAGGTACATGGGGCATCTCATGGGGCCCCCTACTGACCCTGGGCCCTCGAGCAGTGCCCGAGTTTCCAAATGGTCAGTCCGCCCCTGCTTGATATGGACATTTTCAAAAGCCTACATCCAACAAAAGTCATAGTTAGTGTGTGGGCCACTAATAATACTACATTTATGGTTGGATTTCAATTGGAGAGAAAAAAAAAGAATCATTATATAGTTGGATTGTTTCTTGGATACACAGAATATATCTGGATATAACATTTATAGGTAAAGTTGATCCAGGGAATATCTGATTGCCTCTCGGGGGATCAGGAAGGAATTTTTTTTCCCAGCAGGAGCAGATTGGATCATGCTTTGCTTGGTTTTTTTGCCTTCCTCTGGATTAGCTGTGGGTATAGGATTATAACTTCTTTTTTTTTTTATGGTTGAACTGGATGGACTTTTGTCTTTTTTCAAATAGAATAACTATGTAACTATGTAAGTTAGGAGTCTATTTTGCTGGCAGCTAGGGGGAAGGGAATACAGTTGGGTGGGGAGCACAGTGGTTAGCACTTCCAACAGAAAACTAGGAACAGTGATTCAAATGCCAACCACAGCACAACCTGCCTGGAGTTTGCATGTTCTCCCTGTGCCTGCGGGGGTTTACTCCAGGTACTCTGGTTTCCTCCTACACTCCAAAGACATGCTGGTAGGTTAACTGGCTCCCAGTGGCGGACTGACCATTCGGGAACTCAGGCACTGAGGGCCCAGGGTCAGTAGGGGGCCCCATGAGATGCCCCTGGTACCTTTCGTAGGCTTTTTTGGGTGTGGTTTGAGTGTGGGCTAGGACACAGGGGCCCCATGATCCCCTATTGCCGGGGGGCCCCGTGAGATGTTAGTCCGCCCCCTCTGGCTCCTGTCCTAATTGGCCCAAGTATGTGTATGTATGAATGTGAGTTAAGAACCTTAGATTGTAATCTCCTTAAGAACAGGGACTGATGTGAATGTACAATATATATGTACAACACAGTGTAAATTTTTAGTGCTAAATAAATATTTCTTATTTCAGGTACTTATATAGCATCATCAATTTATGCAGTGCTTTACATATATATTGTACATTCACATCAGTCCCTAACCCTCAAGGGGCGTACAATCTAAGGTCCCTAACTTACCTTCATACATACACATACTAGGGCCAATTTAGACAGGAGCCAATTAGCCTACCAGCATGTCTTTGGAGTGTGGGAGGAAACCGGAGTACCCAGAGGAAACCCACGCAGGCACAGGGAGAACATGTAAACTCCAGGCAGGTGGTGCCATGGCTTGGATTCGAACCAACGACCCGAGTACTGCCAGGTGGAACCATTTAGCCACTGTGCTGCCCTTTTTATTCTCTATCATCCAGAAGGTTAACATGAAGGTTTACTCTTCATTCTCTATTGCCATTCATTATAGGAGCTCTCTCTTACTCTTTGTCCACAGTAAATCACACCAGGCGATTCACTTATCCGTATATTACGGCGTATGGGTTACATATACATTATATAAATATAGATAGAAAGGGCTTTTAAACAAAAAAAATAGGTGCAGGACCTTCCCCATTCTGAGTCACTTCCTGTCTCCGCCCTCCTACTCAACTCCCAGTACTGTTCCTTTTAGAGAATACAGAGCCCAATATCATTTTGTGGTGCTAAATAATTTGCATGAAATTTGTTAATTATAACAAGAGGCAAAAAAATAGATCCCCGCAGCCAACAACAATAAACCCCCCCAGCAGCAATAGATTCCTCCAACAACAATGGACCCAAACATAAAATACCACCCAAGCAACAAATAGACCCCTAGCAGCTACAACAGACCTCCCAGCAGTCAGCATCAATATACTCTCCAGCAGCCAGCAACAATCGACAATAGACCACTACTTCAACATTAGATCCCTTCCAGCAATAATTGACTCCATCAACAATAGACCCCCACCAGCAACAATAGACCACCACACAGTAATGGATCCCCTTCAGTGACAATAGATCCACAGCAACCAGCAACAATAGATCCTCTGGAACACCCCATCACCCCTTGCCATTACATACATTCAGTGCTGGAGGTGCCAGAACTGTGTTTTCCCCCACGTTTCCTGCTTAAACCCTTTGAGGACCAAGGGACGTATTTGTCCCATGTTTTTAATTGCGTGTATCATCTGATTAAGAACTTTAAAACTCTTTTTATTTTTTTTGGTGTGAGTCAAAATATTAGTTCTTATCAACAAACAACAAATGGATCTAGCTTTTTCCAATTATTTCATGAAATGGCTTAGTTACAGCAACTGAAGTGTACGAACTTTAAAAACAAAAAAATTGATTCTTTTGGCGTTCCAAAATCTTACGGTCCTCAAAGGGTTAAAAAAAAAAGCCTTGTAGATAGATATATAGCTCTATTAGGACATCTATTTGTGTTCAGCTGTGAGCAGGATCTGAAGGAAATCCAGAACACTCTACAGGAATTAGATCATCTTTCCAGCACAATAACACCATCAAACAAAAGACTTGGGTCAGGTCAGAAAACCACCAGTACCTGATAAATGGCCAACTCCATAGGTACTTTGCAGATATCCACGGCCATGCTTGAATGTGCAGGAAAATGACATGGATTTGGGTTGTGCTTCCATATTCACAAAAGTGGATTTGTGGGTTTTGGCTTGGGCTATAGGTCGGGGTTTGGTCTAATTTCTACTTTCAATCTCCCGTGTAGAACCGGGATAATTTGCTCAGCTCACATTCACTACAATCCCTACAGGATTAGGCGGGTGGAAGGAGGAAAATGAATATATGTATTTTTTACGCATGTGTGTGGATGTGCGCACCTGCATTTATTTATTTTTTTTGTTTTTCACATATTAACAAGAATACATTTCATCCCCTGTGAGGTTTAACCAAAGCAGTCTTGTTTGTATTTAGAAGATGTCTCCTTAGGGAAGAGATATTATAAAAATGAAAGATTTTGGCAGCAGAATTAATTGCACTTTATTACATTATATCCTGAACATGCAAAGGCATTTAACAGAATGACAGGGGAGCTGAAATATGCAGGAAGAAAATGATTTACTCAATAAAAATTCTTTAGTCTTTCCTTCACTCCTAAATTGTTGTTACGGCTTATTGGCAGGTGCTACAGTACATGGTCAAAATCTTTATTTCTGTAGTTGCCTATATTTTGTATTTTGTTCATTGATGTTTTAAGTATTATATCTATTTGGAATTAAAGCAACTCCTCACTGCCAAAAGGGAGTTTGTTCTCTTCCAACACTCCACACCCTGCTATTGGTACCATGAAAATCCCTTATGAATATATATATATATATATATATATATACATACATACAGTATATATATATTGTGACATTAAGAGCTTCTGTCACTGTGTAAGTAGTTAGCAAAAGGACACGGGGTTTGTACTTTTGCTGAGTGCAGGACTAGGGAGCATACAATGCATCCAGAAAGTATTCCCAGCGCTTAACATTTGCCACATTTCGTTATGTTACATCCTTATTCCAAAATGGATTAAAT